GCCCCCCCCCCACAGAAGGACCGAAGTCCGTATGATAGCCAATCACGGCGTTCCTCCTCACGGCGTTCCTCCTCACGGCGTTCCTCCTCACGGCGTTCCTCCTCACGGCGTTCCTCCTCACGGCGTTCCTCCTCACGGCGTTCCTCCTCACGGCGTTCCTCCTCACGGCGTTCCCATGGAGAGAGGGTCTCCAGTGCGTCAGTCCCTCAGGAAGGAGGAAGCAGCGGGGACCAAGCCCCGGAACAGCATGGGGTCACCGGTGGTGGCGGAGCCGCCTGTTCTGCCCCAGGGTCCAGTCCCTCCTGCCGGTGACCCTCAGACCCGGTAAGACCCCAGAGAACATTCTCTGAGCTTCTGACTTAGTGCATGGGAGCATGGACTAACTCTGCATCCCACCTCCACCCTAACTTCCTGGTTTCCTGACCGTCTGAGCCGGTCCGTGACTGCGGACCAGAACCTGACACTAATGCAGGTTTTTGTGGGTTCTGGTCTCTGACCCGTGGAGACTGGGTGGTGTCTGAAGACCAGGTGGAGGTTCTCACTGCTCTGACCTCACACACCAGCCTGCTCTGTTCTGTACGACAGGTTTTCCCAGCATTCCTACCTCCAGGTTTCCTCGTATCTCGAGGAAAATCTTGCAAAAGTTTCTTACTGGTAACTCAAAACTCAGCGTAACTCAGCTGGTGTCTGGAGGTACCAGGTATCCACCGGGATTTGAACCAAACAGACAGAAACTAGAACCAGTGGTTTATTGGATTGTGGAGGAAATTGATTCAGAATTATTTTCAAACTAAACCCAGAGAACCAGTGGATGTTGGACCAGCTGACAACCAGGTGTTGAGTCTGTTCTGCTCACAGACACCCCCGTCAGTCTGTTGTTGTATAACAGCTCAAAGAAAACCGTTAAACCATGACATCATCAGACCTCAGGCCCGACAGAACGATCTCAGACATCGATCTCTCCCCTCAAACACAGCAGAGTTTTCACCTGGTTTTCACCTGGTTTACGCCTCTGGTGTTTGACAGAGTGACAGACTGTGAGCAGGTTAGAACCCATGTTCTACTGAGCGGTCGTAAATGTTAGAGTATGAAAGAAAAATGAAGGACAGGCTGCAGTACAGACAACACGTATAAAGAGTGGCCACAGACAAAGAAACCAGGTGACAACTTGGACTGGTCCGTGTCCTGGTGTCCGTGTCCTGTGTACGGTCTGTGGTGGAGGAGCTTCTGTGTCTGTGGCTGATTTTCTGATGTTTCTGCAGACAGCGAATGAAGGCTATGGAGCAACAGATTGCCAGCTTGACTGGTCTTGTTCAGCATGCACTTTTAAAGGGGCCAAAAACTAGTGGCAGCGCGGAGCCTCAGAGGTAAGCACCCGCAGCACAGGAGGAGGAGGAGGGGGAGGAGGTGTCAGGGAGAAATCAGAGTTTGAAATGAAAAACCACAGAAGGAGACGCAGTGTTCTCCTTCAACCAAACACTGGAACAGGAAGTTGGTTTGACAATCACTCCTGTAGGTGATGGCTGGTCTCTGTGTGTGTGTGTGTGTGTGTGTGTGTGTGTGCTCTGCAGTGACTTGTGATTCTGTGCCATGTTGAAATCTGACCTTTGACCTCCTTATTAA